TCCTTGTAGCCCCAGCTGTCCTGGAACTCACTATGTAGACCAGGCTGGCCTTGAACTCACAAAGATCCACCTGCCTCTGCCTCCCAAGTGCTGGGATTAAAGGCGTAAACCACCACGCCCATGCCTGATTTTTTTTTTAATTGATTTATTTTTATTTTATGTGTAAGAGTGTATTGCCTGCATGTGTGTACACCCATGTGATGCAGTGCCCATAGAGGTCAGAAGAGGGCATCAGATCCCCTGGAACTGGAGTTACAGATGATTGTTAACCACCATGTAGGTGCTGGGAATCAAACCTGGGTCCTCTGCAAGAGCAGCTAGTTCTCTTAACCACTGAGCCATCTCTCCAGCCCTAAATATTTTATTTTTTATGTGTGTGAGTATATTGCCTTCATGCATGTAAATTAGTCCATGTATTGCAGTGCCCATAAGTCAAAAGAGGTTGTCAGATCCCCTGGAACTGGAGTTAGGGTGATTGTTAGCCACCATGTGGGTGCTGGGAATTGAACCCAGGTCCTCTGTAAGAACAGCCAGTGCTCTTAACCACTGAGCCATCTCTCAGCATCTTCTACTATCTTTCCATCAGTATTTAATTTTTTCCATATAAACATTGAGGGCTGGTGATATAGCTTAGTTGGTAGAGCATTTGCCTAGCGTGCAGGAAGCCCTGGGTTCCATCCTCTGCATTACATAAAACTTGGTTTGTTGGTGCACACCTGAAATCCCAGTATTTGATGGGTAGAGGCAAGAGTGTCAGGAATTCAAGGTCATCCTTAGCTACATAACAAATTTGAAGCCAGCATAGAATACATGAGACCTTATCTAATACAAAGAAGCATAGAACGCACCCTTGCCCTCTAAGAGCCAGTTAACTAAAGGAAAGGATTAGAAATGTTCATAAATTAGCTCTGTCAATTGTCTGGAAATTGAGACAAGTCTGTGTGACTGTCTTGAATACCAAGCTAAAATCTTCAAATTTTATTCATAAGAGTTTTTTTATTATTAGAATATTGTAGACTGGGTAAATTGTGAAGAACAGACATCTATATCTCATTGTTCTGAAAACTGGAGGCTGAGAAGTCCAAACTCAAGGCACCATTGTCTTATGTTTGGTGAAAGCTTTCTTGCTGCATTCTCACATGATGGAAAGCAGAAGCAATAAACTCCGTTAGTGATATTTTATAAATCTATCCAATCTGAGTATGAGAGCAGGATCGCTCATAACCCCCAAAGCCCCCCCCACCACCACCCAGTTCTATCACATTACCAATACCTTAAACATGTCCCCTAAGGGGGATACATATAAATCATAGTGGTTATCAAGCTGGAGAGTGACATGATCAGCGCTATTTAAGAAAGATTGACCTAGCAGCAGTATATAAGGTAAAATGAGAAGGACAGTCTCAAAACAGAAATGCCTCGTGCAACTTTTCGATAGTCTGAACTAGTGAAAAGAAAGGTCAGTTCAAGCAAGAGAGTCAGAGAAAGAAAATGGGTGACAGAAGTGATCAATTTAGGAAGGACAGTGTGGAAAGAATAAGGAGGAAGGAAAAAAAAAAGATAACTACCAAATGCCTGCCTTCTTGAACCAAGAATTATGCCATAGTATTTATTGAGTCAAAGAGGACTCAGATTATGGTATCTCTTCTGAAGAATGAGTGTTGTAATTAGGAAACAAGTAAAGGGGGGGTCTAGTAGGAACATAGAGATGAATGCTATTCTAAAAGTATGTGTATGGTGCTGTGGTCACTCAACTCAATTGGTAAAATGAAAAGCCTGATGTGCTTGGAAAATGGCACTATATACAAAAGTTTACCTGTACCCCCGTCCCCCCCCCAAAAAAAAATCACAGGCCTAAAATTCTGCAGAACCACTCAAAGAAAATATAAACATTTGTTGAGAATTGTTCTGCATCTTTTCATAATGAATATTGACCTGAAGTTTTATTTTCTTGTATTATCTTTGTCTGTTTTGGGGACCAGAAAAGACTGTGCTCACAAAATGAATGAAAAATATTCTGTCAGCCAGCTATGGTGATGAACACCCAGCACACAAGATACAGGAGGTTAAGGCAATAGACTAGCTTCAAGTTTGAGGTGAGCTTGGTCTACATAGCAAGTTCAAGACCAACCAGGGCTACATAGCAAGATTCTGTAGATGAATGAATGAATTAATGAGTTAATGAATTTATTTAATTTAATGGGGTTATGAAAACAGTTCAGTTGTTAAAGTCCTTGCCATGTAAGAATGAGGGCCTGAGTTTAATGTCTAACACCCATGTAAAAAGCCAAGAGTGGTACCATGCATGTATAGTCCCAGCACTGGGGAAATGGAGACAGGATTCCTGAATCATTGGGCCCCAGGTCCAAGTGAGAAACCCTGTCTCAAAAAAAAAAAAAAAAAAAAAAGGTAGAGATATTCCCACATAATACCCGAAGAGAAAGGAGACCCAAAGTTTTTCTCTGGCTTTCACATCCATGTGTGTGCACATGCACACACAGCCATACACACTAAACTTATTAATAAAAATTTTAAGGGTATTTCCTCTATTTTCTTTTTTTTTAAGTGTCTAATATTACTACAGTTACTTTTTTCTTAAATGGTTGATAGAATTGATTAACGAAGCCATTTGGAAGCTAGAATTTTATTTAAAAGGTTTTTTTTTTAATTATAAGCAAAGCATCTTTAATAGATGCACTTATATACATAAAATTAAATTTTTTTAAAAAATTATTTTTATAATCCTTGTGTTGAATGGAGTCTACCTTTACATCTTTTTTTTTTTTTTGGTCAATATTAGCATGTGTAACTTTTTTTCAACTTTCCTGTGCCCTTTATTTTTATTTATTCATTTTTATTTTGCATGTATGTTTTGTCTGCATTTATGTGAGTACACCATGTGTGTTCAGTGCCCACACAGGCCAGAAGAAGGCATCAGATCCCCAGGAACTAGAGTTACCATAGATGGTTGTTAGCTGCCACATGGGTGCTAGGATTTGAACCTGAGTCCTCTGCATAAGCAGCCAGTGCTATTAACCATTGAGCCATCTTTTCAGCTCCCCAAAGTGAATATCTAATGAACAGCTTATACTAGAGTCTCACTTTTTAAAAATATTTTACTTACTGTTTTTATTTTATGTGTATGTGTGTATTGCCTGCATGTAGGTAAGTACACCCATATTGTGCAGTGCCCGTGGAGGTCAGAAGAGGCTGTCGGATCCCCTGGGACTGGAGTTACAGACAGTTGTTAGCTGCCATGTGGATGCTGGGATTTGAACCCCTGGTCTTCCACAAAACAAGCAGTATTCTTAACCGCTGAGCCATCTCTCCAGCCCCAATTTCTACTTTTTAATCGGAATATTAAGGTCATGTATATTTAGCATGTTTATTGATAAAGCTTGAACATTCAATGTGAACCCATTTCAGAATACCAGATTGACCGTAACAAACATAAAATTTTAATTTGTAAATTAAAAGTATATATCTCACACTGGCACATACCCGTAGACCTAGCTAAACTAGGGGCAGGGTGGGTGGATCACTTAAGCCCAGGAATTCAAGGCTATACCCAGAAAAATAGTAAGACAGTGCTCTGAAAAAGAAAAATAAAAGCTGGGAGTGGTTGCACACACCTTTAATCCCAGCACTCGGGAGGCAGAGGCAGGTGGACCACTGTGAGAGCAAGGCCAGCCTGGCCTACATAAAGAGTTCCAGGCCATCTGAGACTCAGGGAAACCCTGTCTCAAAAAGACAACCCCTCTCCAAAAGAAGAAAAATAAGAAATAAGTGTTTGGGGAGGAGAAGCTTAGGGAAAAGGAAAAAGAACTAAATTCATAATAATAATTCAGAAATAGAATATACCAACATGCCTTTAATCCCAGCACTCAGGCAGGGGGTGGGAGGTGGATCTCTGTGAGTTCCAGGCCAGCTAGGGATATAGGGAGACCCTGCCTCAAAAAAAGACCAAAAATAAATAAGAATTTATCTTGAAAATTAATTCATGTAAGACTGTTTATGCTAGAGCACTCTTTTTACATCCTAAAAATTGAAAGCAAAGCTTGGCTTAGTGGTACATGCCTTTGATCACAGCACTAGGGAGGCAGAGGCAGGTGGGTCTCTTGAGTTTGAGGCCAGCCTGGGCTACATAGTGAAACTGCTTCCCCGCCCTCCCAAAAAAAGATTGAAAGCCTCCTCATCCTTAATGTCCCATAATAGGTAACAGGCTACATAAATTGTGAGACCCAACCCCCCAATATAGCTATAAGACAAATGAGCTTTCTGTAGTGGGATGGGATACTCCTCAAAATCAATTATTAACTTAAATATACAAAGTGCAAAGTAGTGTATATGCTAAGCTGCCAATATTGTAGAGAGAAGAATGTATAAGCAAAATACCTCTGGGAAGACACACAGGAAACCAGTAACAGTATACCTTTAGGAAGTTCTCACTACTTATTCTCATAACTTTAATTTTGTGCTATATGTACTTATAATTTTAAATTAAAATATGATTGATTGCTCTTGAGAAAACAGTGTCACTTAAAGTAAGAGCAAAACCGGTAGTGTAAGAAAGGTGAGTAGGGGGCTGGAGAGATGGCTCAGCGGTTAAGAGCACTGACTGCTCTTGGAGGACCTAGGTTTAATTCCCAGTACTCGCATGGCGGCTACGAACTGTCCTTAACTCCAGTTCCAGAGGAATCCAAAGCCCTCTTCTGACATCTGCAGCATTGCACAACACAGGTGCACTCACATACATGCAGGCAATACACTCATACACATAAAAAATAAAAATAATAAAATATTTTTTTAAAAGGTGAGTGGTAAAAGAAGTCATAACAGTTCATTTTGTGTGTTTCATATCCAGCTTTTAGATACTATTACATTCTATCCTCAGTAATTTAGGTTGTTTATGATTGATACCAGAGTAAAGATAACAACAACAGAAAAGTAGTCATGGAGGGGAGTCATTATTGAGAGTCATTTTGTTACTTTTACTACAGGTATATTTGCCATGTGTTTTACAAACAAAAAAGAGATATGTGGGTTACATGTATGAAACATTGGATCAAAAGGATCCAGTATTTGATGCAAAAGGAATAGAAACAGTTAGAAGAGATTCTTGCCCTGCTGTTTCTAAGGTAAGTTCAACTGTTAAAATAAGTAGCTAAAGAATCTGGCATGGATGTAACTACCCTTACACACACATTCCACACACAAGTACAGAAGGATCTATGTGAATTTTGAGAATTTTATTTCTAATGAAAACTATTTTACTGTAGTCATAGTTTCAGACTTCTCCCTATACCTTGTTTTATCAAGATCATTAAAAAGCAACACATGAACTAGTAAGATTTTCTCTCATCACCCTTTAGGATGATGACAGGATATCTTGTCTTATGTATAACAGCCCCCAAAAAGTATGGATCATGATAAAGAAAAGAACCTAGCAAGTATTTCTCAAGTAACACAATTCATTCCAGAGTAACTGAAATTTTATGTGCTTGAATTATTAAATACAAATTAGAAAAATTTCTGAACAGTGTGGTACTATATTTAAATTTTTTAATAATAATTTTCTAGAGTATTTTTCTTTATTCGTGCCCATTCTTTCACCAAACTAAAAATAAATATATAACACTGGGCATGTGTAGTGGCGCACACCTTTGATCCCAGCACTTGGAAGGCAGAGGCAAGCGATTCTCTGTAAGTTCAAGGCCAGCCTGATCTACAGTGAGTCCCAGGCCAGCTGGAGCTACAGAGATACCCTGTTTCAAAAGACAATCAATCAATAAATAAATAAATAAGTAAGTAAATGAGTAAATAAATGTACAAATGAGAATACTACTTTGTATTTTGAGTTATGAGACTATTAAAAACATAATGGATTATTGTCAGTATATTATGTGATTTATAACATGAATTTGAGGTTTATTCAGTAGTGATTTTGGGAAAGATAATCATCTAGTATATTCTTTCCCTTAGGTACAGAATTGACCTATGTCAAACAAATAAGCATATCATAAAAAATATGCATAGGTTCAAATATTTAGAATAAGATAGAAAATTTTTACTTGGAATTGATTTAGGTTCAGTCCACGCTATAAATTCACTGCATATTGGATCATTTCGTAGCAAAAATATTTTCAACACAGAAAATTCTGTCACAATTTTTTTAGATACTATAATAAAAGCAAAAATGCTGTTATTTTTGTTTTGTTTTTGTTTTTGACTGATTGGTAATACATTTCTCTTTGTCCTTTTTATAGTTTGAGTTGGGTCCTTTCAATGCATAAAGTCAGGTCTGGTTTCTTCTCCTTGCAGTGCTTTGACTATTTAAGAAAACTTAAATGTTTTTTGTTGCTCATCACATAGCAGATTTTTCATCTTAAATATTCCAATGTGCTTTTTCTAAACTACATTATAGTCTTAGAAATAGCAAGCTACATAAAGTTTCAAAAATATTTTCCAAGTTCTAATCATTTTTATTGTCTAATCATCATAAGATTTAGGTAAATGAAGTTCCCTGGAGGGGTATGGGTGTGTGTGTTGACAAGGTCTCATTATTTATTTACTCCAGTACCTGATGGCTTTTTAGTGAAAGCGTAACAATAATGTTGAAACATACTGGGAGATATTTTATCTTTTGTGCATCTTTTTTGTTTTAAGATTCTTGAGCGTTCTCTAAAGCTGCTATTTGAAACAAGAGATATAAGTCTAATTAAACAGTATGTTCAGCGACAGTGTATGAAACTTTTGGAAGGAAAGGCCAGCATACAAGATTTTATCTTTGCCAAGGAATACAGAGGAAGTTCTTCTTATAAACCTGGAGCTTGTGTTCCAGCTCTTGAACTTACAAGGTAATAATGCACACAGCAGTACAGTCCTCAATAGCCAGTGTAGTCCTAGGTTGTTTGCAAGGACTTAAAAGACGTCTAGATTACACAGTTATGTGGAGACACACACAGTTAATGTCTCCACTTCCCCACATGAAACCTCACTCAAGATTTGGGTTCCCCCTATACTTTGTAAGATCTCTTCTGGGCTTTCCTTTGGAACGTAAATCATGATGTGTCTGATAACATTTTTGTTTCTTTCATATCAATATTATTAGGCAGTCCTTAATACTGAACTGCCAAAGCATTTAGATGCTATCATTCTGTAGTCAGATTGTCTAAATTGCTCTTCTCTTTCATTGTTAATTATAATTGCTCTTACTCTTAGATTATACTACTTTCCAGGTAGCAAGGATATATAGAATAAATTTCAAATCATTATAGCATTATCCACTTGGTGTCAACTGCATGAAAGGTATCTAATTCTCAAAGAAGCAATAATAATTTGAAGGTGCCCCTATAAATTTCTCATGGTTTTAGGCTTCTGATTTAATGTGCTGGGAAGGTGCCTTCCATGACAGCCTGAATGTGTACTTTATTTGGATTTAAATAGAAAAATGCTTACTTATGACCGGCGCTCTGAACCTCGAGTTGGAGAACGCGTGCCATATGTCATTATTTATGGGACCCCAGGAGTTCCACTTATCCAGCTGATACGGCGCCCAGCAGAAGTTCTACAGGATCCAACTCTAAGACTGAATTCCACTTACTATATCACCAAGCAAATTCTTCCACCTCTGGCAAGAATCTTCTCTCTTATTGGTATTGATGTCTTCAGTTGGTATCATGAATTACCAAGGGTAAGTTTACTAACTAGTATATGTCCTATAAATATTTCACATCAACTTTTCAATATAACTAGATTTTATGTGTTACGAGAAGCAAAGCAGATTTTTTCCTCCATTATCCTAAACTTGCAAAGATGTCATGTTTTCCAAGTTTCTTAAAAGAGAAACTGTGACTATCTTCTCAATGTCTATAAAGTTGCACAAACTATAGAAATATTAAAATCAGTCCCCAAGAATTTCAGTGATAATCAGCCACAAAATAACTCGGAGTAAACTAGATAATGGAAAATAAATGGAGCATGAAATTACTTAAGTGGGTATCTAAGAAATGCATGGGAAGAGCTGATGAGATGGCTCAATAAGGGAAGTACTGGGAGGCAGAGACAGTAGGGTCCTGGGGACTCAATGGCCAACAGTCTAGCCAGTCCCTGGGCTCCAGGTTCAGTGAGAGATCCTGTCTCAACAACAATAATAAAAAAATGTGGAAAGCAATAGAAGAAAACAACCTGGGATGTCTACTTCTGGGCTCCATATGCACATGCACAGGCACAGACACACATATACACACAAATGTGGATATAAGTTGAGCATGGTAGCACACAGCTATAATTTCAGCACTCTGGAAGATGAAGCAGGAAAATCAAGAGTTTGGGGTCAGCTTGGGCTCATTGCATCTATGGAATATAGTATCTATACATAGTCCTAGAGAAACCAGATAAAAGAAATAATGTTAAAAATACCATTACACTAGGGTAAAACATGCAGTGTAGAAGCTTGGTACAGAGAGCTTTGTTTGAACTCTTACTCAATGGGTGCCTAAAATAGTAATATTTGAGTTGAAGCATCTGGGGTACATTTTTCTAGGAGAGTAATGACAGGTTTTTTTGTTTTTGTTTTGGTTTTTTGGAGACAGGGTCTCCCGTAGCCCCAGCTTCCCTGGAACTCACTATGTAGACCAGGCTGACCTTGATCTCACAGAGATCCACCTGCCTCTGTCTCCCAAATGCTGTGAGTAAAGGAATGTGCCACCATGCCTGGCAGAGAGGAATCATTTTTGTCTACTTGTGAAAATTTACTTGCGATCTCTCAATCATATGCCATTATCGCAGACTGAAATACAGATTGTATTCAAACTGATAGAGAAAAGTAGATATTTAGAATTACCTCTCAGCCAGCATTTGTAAAATGAACGAAAAAAATATAAGCTAGGAAATTGATGTTGAAACAATGCTTTAGGTAATTTGTGCTGGCTGAAATCTTAAATGCTGTATTCTGACTGTAAGCCAGGAAGCTCAGATTTTTTTTTTTTACTATTTTTCATTTCATCACCAGCAAAAATGTTAACACAATAGCATTTATAAGAGGCTAGCTCCATGTTATTTCTGCAGAGTGATTTTTAGAAGATCACCAGAAGATTCCAAGACTGTATTACATTATTTCAATGTAAAAGTGTTACTAGATCTCTGAAACCAGTATTAAATGAAAGAATTCCTCAGTGACATAATATCCAATTAAATTTGAAATGGATTTACTTCCTTTGCAACTTTTCACCCTACTGCCTAACAAAACGATACATCTGATGATACTAAGATGTAAGCTCCATGAAAGTAAGGACTTTGGCCATTTCTGTATCCCAGTATCTAAAATAATAGCTACTCAACATTTGTTGAATGGACGAATGAAGAAATAAAACTGTAATTAGCGTGGGAAGAGCTTTTTTGCTGTGAAGATGACTTGAGCTTATTCCTTAATTGTTGGTATAGATCCAGAAAGCTACCAGCTCATCCAGAGGTGAACCTGAAGGACGAAAAGGCACTATCTCACAATATTTCACTACTTTACACTGTCCTGTGTGTGATGACCTGACTCAACATGGCATCTGTAGTAAATGTCGGAGCCAACCTCAGCATGTTGCAGTCATCCTCAACCAAGAAATTCGGGAGTTAGAGCGCAAACAGGAACAACTTGTGAAGGTACAGTTTTGATCAATAGACCTGAAATCCCAAGCAACCTGACTTTTTGGGAAGATCGTCAACTCTTCATTGTAACATGAGATGTGAAACCAGTGTGGAAAATGAAATGAGGGTTCTAAACTTATAAACTTCTGAAAGTTTAAAAAGTACTACACGTGGGTCCTGGAGAGGGCTCAGCAGTTAAGAGTACTTGCTGCTCTTGTAGAGGACCCAGGTTTGGTTCCCAACACCCATATCAGGCAGCTCACAACTGCCTATAACTCCAGTTTCATGGGATCCAATGCCTTTTGGCCTCCCACAGGCACCTGCAGGCATGTTGTGCATATAAACTCACATAGCCACACACACATACATGCACATAAATAAAAATAATTTTTTACTTTAAAAATAATTAAAGTGATTTCAGTTGATCCATCAATACTTGTCATTCTCAAAAGTTTAGTGATCTTAGCAACTAGAGGGTAAACTTGGAAAGTCTGCAGTTTTGAGAATCCAGATAGAAAATAAATAGGTAATGGTTGAGTCTTACTGCCACAGACTGTTCTAGGCACTCTTACAGAGAGATTAAGTAATTTGCATCCTAATAAGTGTCTGGGCTGGAAATATCAGCATAAAATATAAAGATAATTTCTCATATGTTAGAATTCTAACAGAAATAAACAGCAAACATTTCTTAAAATAAGTTGAAAAATGAAATCTAAGCAAAAAGTCAATAAAGTTCAGTCTTTGTCCCAATTTTCTGTCCTTTTTCTTTCTGTCCTTTTTCTTGTCACATTGTACCTGCCACATCTGCCATACCTTTTAAGCCCATGAATGTACTTTAATCTCACCTTCCTTCTGGCCTTTGAATACCCTGTTCCCTCTACCAAGAATTTGCCCTTATTCTTCTCTAATCATTTGAGAAGAATCAAGTTTAAACAGCTAGACAGGTGAAGCCTTACCTATAATAGACTTCTACCATCCTTTCCTGTGATTGTGTGTGTGTCGTCTTGTCTGTCTCCATCAAGTGAGCAGGTAAGACTGGAAGCTCTGCCTGATACTAGCCCTCCCTGGTGGTACACTATAAATAGTTGTTGAACAACTTTCTGCTTACTGCATGATTAAGGGAACAATATGGAAAGGAGCAATAAAATAACTTTCAGCCATTTTGTAAAGTTGTGTGGTCCTAGTTACTATAGACACTGAAGTCACTGGGGGCTCCCACCTTCTGTTTATTTTATCAGCTGCTGTCATTTGGCAGCAACTAGCTAACTCGGGAAATTCCCTTATTAGACCCTGGCATATAGTATATTGACAAGAGTAGGAACTTCAGAGCTCTGCTAAGGTCAAGCTGTAAGAAGTCTCTCCCTGGACCTTTTTGTCTTCTGCCCTCAGTGACAAATACCACACTAGCAAGTACTCTCCTTGCCAGTAGATTTCATTTCTTTCAAAAATACAATTTAAAAGAAATGATTCTCTTTGTAAATAAGGATGGTTTGTTTCAAGAGATAATAAGCCAGGGATGGTGCATAAGTCCATAATCCCAGTACTGGGGGAGAGGGAGACTCTGCTTCATGAGACCTTGTCTCAAAAGAGAGGCAGAGACATTAGAGATGGAAAGACTCTGAGACTAAAACTAGTGTTATTTTAAAAGAGTTAATCTCATATATTTGTGGACACTTTTATAAATCACTACAGGACATGCAGTGATATAGGAACATTAATAATGACTTCAATAGATTTTTCTCAAAGACCAATCAAGCAATTAGAAATAAGTATGGAAGATCTAAATATCATAAACTAGTCCTTATGGTTGTATATCAAACTCTGTAACACAAAATTAGACAACATACTTTTAGGTGTTTATAGAATGTTTAAAATATGACCATATAAGGGCTAGAGAGATGACTCAGCAGTTAAGAGTCACTGTTCTCCTAAAAGACCTGAGTTCTATTCCCAGCACCCACATCAGGTGACTCACAACTGCCTGTAACTCCAGCTCCAGTGGATCCAGCTCCCTCTTCTGCCCTCCACAGGTACCTGTATACAGTGTTGCACTCAGACAGGCAAATAAAAGTCAAAATAAATCTTTAAGAAAATTATTTTAAATCTTGATCATATACGTATAGCAGTCTGTAACAAAACAACTCAATAAATGTTCTAAAAGATAAAAAAAATTTAACAAATGCCCAGTGTGGTGGCACACACCTTTAGTCCCAGCACTCGGGAGGCAGAGGCAGGCGGATCTCTTTGAGTTCAAGGCCAGCCTGGTCTACATAGTGAGTTTCAGACCAGGTGGGGCTACAGGGAAACCCTGTCTCCAAAACAAAACAAAAAAAATTGCAAATGGCATTTACCAATACAGTGCTATAAAAGTAGTAATTATAAACTCAGAAAACAAAATGGTCCTCTACTTCGAGTCTCCAACATTCCCTGTTAAACAAAATGAATACTACATATCAAATTCTAGATATGCATAACAGATATCAGAGAAAAATTTATCTCCTTAAATACTTTTACTAATAAACATAAAAAGATGAAAACAAATGAAGTGTCTTGATAGAAATTTTTTAAAAAATGAGAAAGCCCATGAATAGCAAAAAGAATTTACAAAGATCTTAGAAATCTTTTATTTTTAAACATTTGCCTCCTTAAGTTAAAATGTAGGTGTCCTGGGTGTGTTGTTTAAATTTTTAGATGTAATTGTGAATTGAGCTATAACACTCAGGAATTAAATCACCAGTAAAAGTCTTCAAAGTAAACATTGGAGTTAAATTTAGCAAGTTGAGTAATTCCATCCTGGATTATTTACCAGACAGGCACATAGAGTTCTTAAATATTTATCAGTTTGTCCTGGCACCTGTGTGTAGCTGTAGTACATACAGCTGTAACACACAAATTCTATATTTGGAAACAGATTTGAGTCTCTTGGCAGAGTTGTAATTAGCAAAAGGCTTCCTAGAACATGATGCTCCGTCTTTGCAGAGCCTACTAAAGCATGTGTTTCTAAGCAGTTTACTTGTGGCAGTAACATAATAATGATTCCAGTGCCAGTGTTCTCAGGAAAATGCCCGTCTGTTGAATGTGGGATATTGTCTCAGAGAACAAAATTTCAGTGTCCTATATGCCATCTTTAAGTCAGAACCCGCTCCAATAACCATCCAGTAGAGATGTAATTAGTATTGATTTATCTCTTAGAACACGGTAAGTGGAGTGATGCTGCTGCTTGCCTTCCTGGTTGCTTGTTTGTTGTATGTTCACTCCCTTGCTCTTTTGCTTGCTTGTGTCAGAAACGTGGCCTCAGTGTCCAGACTGACTCCTGTTTTTAACCACTTGGTTGCCCTGCATTGATTCTTTAAAGGACTCACTAGTATCATTTTAATTTTTAAGTTTTTCATGTTTAGTAATCATTTTAGCTATACTTGTGACTTGAGGCTATCATTAAAAATCTGATGGTTATGAAAGGCATCATAATGCAGCCTCTTTTGTTAGAAATTTGTTCCATAATTATCTTTTACATCAGTATCACTTGGAATCCTTGAAGATGATGGCTTCTTAAGCTTTTATGCCTGGGGATTCTGATTCATTGGTGTGGGCGGCATTAGTTTACTTTTAAGCTCCTTGTTAGCCAGCTGAGAACAATTGGTCTAGAAAACGACTATCGCCGGGCGTGGTGGTGCATGCCTTTAATCCCAGGACTTGGGAGGCAGAGGGAGGCAGATTTCTGTGAGTTCAAGGCCAGCCTGGTCTACATAGTGAGTTCCAGGACAGCTGAGGCTACAGGGAGACCCTGTCTCAAAAAGACCAAAAAAAAAAAGCAACTATCACTTTGATTTGATTTCTTTTTCCTAGCATTTTCCTTTTGACAATAGAGTAGTATATTGTGTGAATTTTTTTTCTTTTTTTTAAATTTATTTTTTTATTTTTATTTTATGTGTACTGCCTGCATGTATGTGTACTGCCTGCATGTATGTGAGTGCATGTATGTGCAGTGCCACAGAGGTTAGAAGAGGGCTTCGGATTCCCCTGGAACTGTCGTTAAGAAAGGTTCATAGCCACCCTGTGGGTGCTGGGAATCGAACCTGGGTCCTCTGCAAGAGTAGTCAGTGCTCTTAACCACTGAGCCATCTCTCCAGTCCCCATGGATCTTTTTTTCTAACTGAAAGTATACATGTATATGGAGTACGATATGATAATTCAATATGTGGAGAGTATGTATTGATCAAATCAGATTAATTGCCATTACTTTGTATTGGAAACATTCCTTGTTTTTTGTTTTTTTGACACAGGGTCTCATGCACCCCAGGCTGGCCTCAAACTCGCTGTGTAGCCAAGAATGTCCTTGAACTTCGGTTGATCCTCCTGCCTCTGCCTTCTGAGTGCTGGGATTATAGGCATGCACCACCACACTCAATTTGTGCATATGCAGTACTGGAGATGAACCCATACTCTGATGCATACTAAGCAAGCACTCTACTGACTGAGCTACACCCCCAGCATTTGTATAGGGAACTTGGAGATGCTTTTTTTTTCTGTTTCTTTAGATGCATAATTGCTTATAGACTGTAATCATAAATACTGTAAGAAACACTGGAACTTATTCCTCCAGTCTAACACATTGTGGTCTCTGTTAGCCAGCCTTTTATTCCTCTTCCCCACTCTTCTCTTAAACCTCTGGTGACCATTATCATACTTATTATTTCTGAGATGTAACCATTTTCAATTTCTACATATGAATGAGAACCTGTGTTTATATCAGTCTGTGTTTGGCTTATTTCACTTAATATCTTCTAGTTGCATCTACCTTGCTACAAATGACGAGATTTCCTTTTCATGGCTGAATAATACTTCATTTTGCACATTTACCCCATTCATGTTTTGGTAGATAACCTCAGTTGGCTTCATGTCTTGACTGTTGTAAATAGGCTCTATAATAAACAACAGAGTACACATATCTCTTTGATATAATGACTTCATTTCCTTTGGATACATACCCAGTAGTGGAATTGTTGCATTATATAATAGTTGTATTTCTAGTTTTTGAGGAATCTCCATACTACTTTCTGATTGATTATTCTTTGCCTTTTTTTAAAAAAAAAAAGACCATTCTAATTGACATTACAGGATATCTCATTGTACATTTATTTTGACTGGTTGGTTGGTTGGTTTTGGTTTTTTGAGGCAGGAATGTTATAGTCCAGACTTGCTGGAACTTGCTTTGTATCCTGGGCTACACTTGAACTCAGGATTCTCTGAAAAGATTGCAAGCATGTGTCACCACATTCATCTGTCCATTGTAATTTAGCTCATATCCTCCTGCTTGTTAGTGCTGTTGACATTTTCATATTTGTGTGTTTTGCCATTGGTTCTGATATATTCTCATTTTCCTTATCACATAAATACTTCACTAATATTTTCTCCCGTTCCACTGTTGACTGTTTCCTTTGCCATACAAGAGCTTCTTAGTTTAATAGACTCACATTTGCTGGTTACTGCTTTTGTTGCCCGTGTTTTCACAGTACTATCCTCAGTCACAGTCCATGTCGGTGTCTGTGTCTCTCTGGCTTGGTGTACAGTTTTGTTAGTTAGTTCACCTGCTACAACAGAGGTCTCTTACGGGGCACAGGTTTGCTGGTGGTTTCTGGTTCCTAAGTAGCCTTGGACAAGCACAGGTCACCTTGCCTGTGAATTTTAATGTAATAGGATTCTCTTGTGATGCAGGTTGATATAAGGAATGAATGACTCTTTAGACAATTACACTTTTTGTGAAATGTCCTTTAGAAGTACCTCACTCATATGGTAGGCTAGGCTTCTGAGAAATTGAAACAAATGAATTTTTCTATGCTCAATTTCATCTTATATGTTTGCCAGTTATCTGGGTGGGTCAGAAATGAGGGATTATAAAAATTTGTTATTTACATGTATACACAGAAACCTTGCTGTTGTCTTATCTATTTCTCTTATGCTTTCAGATATGCAAGAACTGTACAGGCTCCTTTGACCGACATATCCCTTGTGTTTCTCTCAACTGCCCAATACTTTTCAAACTCTCACGAGTAAATAGAGAATTATCCAAGGCACCGTATCTCCGGCAATTACTAGACCAGTTTTGAGTTATCGTATCACAGAATTCCAGGTGCTATTTGTTCAGTGTTTACCACTAAACTGTCATGCATGGTGCTTTCTCAGCCTCCATCAAGTCACAAATGTTCATTGTCTGTTATCCAAGACTATGAAGACTTACGCTAACTGAATTTAAAGTTATACTTGCTGATCTCTGAATAACTCACTTCTTAACAATGTACAAATTCCTCATTCTTTCACCTTTTAAACATTGTTTTATAATACAGGTGTTGGATTTGCTCCAGTTTATGTACCATCTTGTAAATCCATTTGAACAGATCATGTTTACTTCCCTGTGGAAGGAACCCTAAAAACCTCTTAAAAATCATTCGTGCGTTTCCCTTAAACTGTCTGTATTAAGACGTGTTGCTTAGAGATATTCATTCACTTTATAATTTTGATTGCAAAATATTTTGTAAATACACTTTTTTACTTTTCAAACAACTGAGTAAAATAATGTGCAATGAATTTTATACAAATAATTTTCAAGTTGTTTGGTATATTTCCTCTAGGTTTTGCTTGACTCAAATGTAGATTTATTATTTTGATCAAACTGTGCAAATAGTACCATGTGTAGCATTTTTGAAATATTATTTTCTAAAAGCCGCTGTCTTGCTTTAGCTATTAATGGGGCATTGTGAGGAACTGTGCAAAGACATTTTTGTTACAAACCTGTGGGCCTGTTGCAATACTTTAAAATAAAAATTTTATTCCATTTTTGCTTGTTTTGTATAGACATTTCTATTGCTTCTAAATATGCTTAAAGTATTTTCTTTCCTTATGTACTGTACAGTTAATCTTATTTGCCATCCCTTGAACACAAAATGTGTATCTAGGATATTTGTATAACTGTATAAAATGAAAAAGGAATTATGTGGTCAGTGCATTGTTTTTTAAACTGGAAATCATTTTGTTTTAAGAGTTAATAATGGAAACCAAATTAAAATTGAATAAAATATTAAGTATGCTCGTGTGGTTTTTATCTTGCTATAAATAGAATTATGTTTTATAAACTACATTGGTTACATTTTCCTGAATTTTAATGAGGTAAATTTAGGCACTGGAGATGTAGCTCAGTTGACAGAGTACTTGCCTAGTATGTACAAGGTCCTAGATTCAATCTTCAGTGCCACACAGCACTTGAAAGGTAGAGGCAGGAGGATCAGGAGTTCATAAGGATCCTCAGCTAGATAGTGAATTTTAGGCTCGCCTGGGCTACATGTGACTCTATCTCAAAAACAAAAAAAGCCAGGCATGGTGTCTGGCAATAAGGCACCAAACCTGTAATCCCGGCACCCTGGAGGCTGTAGCAGAATTACTGCAAGTTCTAGGTCAGTTCGGACTACATGTAGCAAGACACTATCTTGGGGGTTGGGAGTAGATTTGGCTAATTATTATGTCCTGACCCATTCTCTTACCAAAGCACTAGGATTAATTTTTTTTAATTTTTATTTATTTGGTCTTTTTGAGACAGGGTCTCCTCTCCCTGTAGCCTCAGCTGGACTGGAACTCTCTATGTAGACCAGTCTGGCTTTGAACTCAGAGATCTGCCTGCCTCTGCTGCCCAAGTGCTGGAACTAAAGGTGTGCACCACCATGCCCAGCAGTTATTTTATGTGTGTGAGTTCATTACCTGCATATATGTAAGTGCACCCATGTCATGCAGTGTGCACAGAGGTCAGAAGAGGGTGTGGGATCCCCTGGAACTGGAGTTACAGATGGTTGTTAGCTGCGATGTGGATGCTGGGATTCCAACCTGGGTTCCCTGCAAGAGCAGCCAGTGCTCTTAACCACTGAGTCATCTCTCCAGCCCCTAGGATTAATTTCTTAAGGCAGCAATATTCTAGGAAAAAAAGTAGCATTCACCCTTTTAAATAAGAGTTTGTTGGTAGATGTTAAGTGTTTTTACTCCTATACAATTAGTCTTTAGGCCAGGACTTTTCAGAGGGAAAATGAAGCAATATTACTATTTTTTTAAAGCTTAAATGCCACTTTAGATATGCCAGTTTTTCTCAATAAAAATAAAGTCTTAGAGATTATTCATCTGGTTAGTCATCAGAAATGGGTCTTCCATTGCCAGAATTTGAACATATATCCCTCAAATCTTACTAAGGGATAATACTTTCTGAGGTCTTTTGTGTTTGGTGGGCTGGAGCATACCCCTCAGTCAGGGTTGATTATTAGTCCTTGCATAAATGGACATTGCTGGTTTTCTTCTAAGTTCCATGCTGTCTGTCAAAACTCACACATACATCATAGCAACAACACAGTATTTTCAACAACCATTTTATGTCATAATTGGACAGCCATATTAACAAAAGCTATCCAACATGAATGTCAAACTAGCTCATTGTTAGAGCGTATCTGGTTGCCTTTTCTACAAGGAAATACAACCCTTGTTCCTGTCCTCATGCTGCCTGTTGGATGTATTTGCTGTTCTGGCAACTTTCTTGGGGTGTTGAAATTTGGATCAATTTCACCAAGCAGTTTTTGTAAGGAGCTCCCAGTGTTGCTTTCATAATTATTTTCTCATCCTTTTTAATCAGCTATTAGTTTTGTTCTTCATCACACATCCATTTTTAGTAGTACTGAAGAAATTTCATTCTTTAGCATGTGTTCATTTATCTGAAAAAGAACTAGCATGGTCTGGGGAGATGGAATGGTAAGAAGAGCATTTGCTCTATAAACATAAGGACTTGAGTTCAAATCCCCGGCACCTACACTTAAAAAAAAAAAACCAGCCAGGGGCTGGAGAGATGGCTCAGTAGTTAAGAGTAGTTGCAGAGGACCCAGGTTCGATTCCCAGCACCCACACGGTGGCTACGAACCGTCCTTAACTCCAGTTCCAGGGGAATTCGAAGCCCTCTTCTGACTTCCATGGCATTGCACGACACAGGTACACTCATATACATGCAGGCAATACTCATACACATAAAATAAAATACTTTTTAAAAAGCCATAACTGTGTGCCTTTAATGCCAGCATTGGGGAAAGGGGGTCAAAAATGTGGATCCTGAAAGCTCCATGGTTAGCCGTCCTAGCAGAAATGGCAAGGCTCAGGTTCATTAAGAGACCTGTCTCAAGGCAATAAGAGGCAAAGCAATAGAGGAAGACATCTTGCATCCTTTGGCCTCTGCTGTCACATGGGTATGTGCACACCTATGCACAAAGAACTAGCTCAAAAGTAATTTCATTAGTCATTTCCTTAATATGTTGAACATTTTCTTTCATTCTTCCCATTTACCACCTAAGCCTTTTCCAATACATAAACCATATAATATGTGGACAGAATAGTGTTGATGAATAAGGCTAATAATTAGGCAAAAATAGATAGAAATTGTATATAGGCAATAGTTTAAAAAATTTATGGGCCATCCTGGGAGGGCGCCTTACCTGTAGGGGGAGCTAGAACATGAACTGTCCTGTCCCACTGGTTGCCACAGATCAAACTCCTCTGTCTCAGATGCATGTTACTGCCTTCAGGTGCTCTACCCTGATGACCTAAACTCTACTAAAGTTGTGTAGTCGTCGTCTTTCCATTTTTTCCCTAATGTTTTCCCTTTCATGATGGCTGAAGCACAGGGATGTTTCTTTAAGGCCTATTGTTATGTAGCCCAGGCTGGTCTCAAACTATTCCCCTTGTCTCTGCCTCCCAAAGTGCTGGGATTGTAGGGGAATGCCACCACACCTAGCCTTTATGTGAGCTTTTAAATTGATTTCTCAGTTTCCAAATAGTATTCCTTTACAAAATTAATTTTATAAAATCAAAACAAACCTTTTAGCATAAATAAAATGTTAGGGCTTTGCTGTCAACAAAGGAGAGATAACAGTGTTCAATAGCTACTTCTGGGCTACATATTTCCGATCTCAGCCCTGCACTTACTGAAGGCCAGTATGCACCTTTATTTTTATCCCTGTAATACCTGGCCTGGTTTCTTGATATAATGAATTGTTAGTTTGAATGTCATTATGTACCAGTTCTGCTTAAATAGTTTATGTAAAGAAAACAGCCATGGATTATGTCTAGCATTTGGAATCTAAGGATAATGTCTTAAACATACCACCTAATATGCTTCTCTTTTCCTTCCTCTCACCCATATCTTTATTTCAGGATTTACCCATGCCCCAAACATGACTTATAAAGCACAGTACCTTGCAGAGGAACTCAGACTCACAATCAGGTTTCTGTGTATACTTGGCAAGAGGAAAGTATAACCAGGAAGACAAATGAAGGCAGTTACAAAATCAAAACACCATTTTCTTGCCTCTAACCTTTACCTGTTTTACTACTGATGCCTCTTTTGTTGGAGGAAAAGTTTCAGGGAAAGAGTAACAGGAACAGGAAATCTCCCTGCTGTCTGTGATCAACGACAGGAATTCAGCCCTTTGAAAAAAGCAGTTCAGAGCCTTGGGCATAGGCCCACTTCTGCTCTCAGCACCCCAGATCTCTGGCTACCCTCTTAGCCCACTGTGCCTTGATTCCCACATCCTGAGCAAATTCAGTCTCCCAGCCTCCACATCCTGTTCTACTTCTACCCTTAGGCACAGGCTCACTTCTGATCTCTAGGGCTACCCTCTTAGCCCAGACCTGCCCACTGCATCCTGATCCCCTGCACCCAGCCCAATTCAGTTCTTCACTCTAGTTTCTTAGAGCCTCCATAGACTGTCCCCACCCCCAACTTGCCTTTGCACACCTGAGACCAGCCTTCTAGCTGTCCCCAACCCCAACTTGCCTTGAATTCCTTAGAGCAGCCTTCTTCCCTAGTAAGTCCAATCCCATCCATGGCACCTTGACTCCCCTACAACCTGAGCAACTCCAATCTCCCAGACCCCACATCCTGTTCTTCTAGCCTTGGGCACAGGTCTGCTCTTGCTCTTAGCATCCCAGATCTCTAGACTACCCTCAACCCTGCAAGGCAGTGCAGTTTCCAAATCATGCCTTATTCATCTCCCTACATTGGGACCACCTAGAGCCCCTCCCACTGCTGCAGCATTAGGCTTCTCTGCCCTTTAGTAGGGGCCCAGACTTTTGCAGACAGCCTGAGATAGCCTGAATCCAACCTCCACCTAGCAGGCTTCCCACATTGTACGGTGCCTGCTGACTAGAGGAGCCCAGAGCATTTAAGAGGAAGCCTGATCCTCATCTGACTTGGGCCTCTGCAGGAACTCCTGAGTAGCTGGATTAGAGCCATCTGGCCCCTCCAATATAAAAATCAAAAGAGAGAACCTGAAGCCTAGACCAACCAGCTTTTCATACCCAATAAGAAAACAACAAAAAAAGATAGCCTGCGAGGGTGAGTTCAGACTTCATCAGTGTAGCGGCTCTGATCTCAGCAGACCTCCAGAGAGTGCTGAGTTCTGGAGGGCCTGAGAATGCAGGGGACTGGCTGAGAGCTCCCGGATCCTGCCTCCACCTGGTGAAGGAAACCTGAGTGTACCTGACTGGAACCTGAATTGGGCTTTTATGGGTACTCCTGAATAGCTGATCTGAAGCCATCAGTTCCCTCCAAAATAAACCTGAGAGAACTTGAACCCTGTACCAACCAGCTTTACATAACCAACAAAGAAAGGATCTAGGCACCCGGATAATACAAATAGGTATACTTCAACTTAATTCTCACATCAGAATCATAAACAACAAAAGAAATTCACATGCCAAAAAATGGAAAAATAATATTATGGAAAAACAAAACAGTATGTTCCTACCAAACACCACCAGTCCTGTAGAAGATTTCTACAAAGGGAATCCCCTAGAGATAACTCAGGACACAGAATTTAAGAGAACAATCCTAAACATGATCAAGGAAGTCAATGAATTTAGAGAACACACAAACAAATCAAAGAGCCAAAAGAAGATAGGGATAAACTTATGAATGAATTCACAAAAGAAACATTGAAGAAAACTCAGGGTCAGGCAGACATGAAGAAGGAAGTGTAAAACTCAATAGCCAACTTGAAGCAGCATGGG